TGTAATAAGCTTCCGCTACCAGGGGCGAAATTTCGCGGAAAAAATCTGCTTTACGGCAGGAAACGCGTCATGTATTGCAAAATTGGTCAGCCAACCAATCAGGGACTGGAGCTGGTCCTTACGAGGAGTTGGGCATGAGATAGTTGAGTCACGATGGCAGACGGACAAAGTTTGGAGACAAGTGAAAAACGGCTTAGCAAAAGAAAATGAGCTCCTCTGTCTGAGGAGGCAAAGAAGAGCAAAAAGGAGAGTGATAAAAGAAGAGGAAAAACATGAGTAAACCTCAGTCAGGCGTTCAAGAGATGGAGGGAGCTCCGTGACCAAAGCGGTTTCAAAACCGATGTCCAGCTAGCTTTCTTTCTAATTGATCAGTAAGTAACACGGCTAAATGTTAGCTAGACGAGAGAGGATTGTACTGTACTGGCTGCTAGTTAATTCCTAGCTGGCCAGCATCGCAAATCACCGCAACCAGGGACCGGGTAGCGAGTGTTGGCCGGCTGACATCCTCGTTGCCATTCTACGGCAGCCCTCGGACAGTGATACCCCCCTCCCCCCTTCCTTCTGTTCTCTTCTCATGGAGGCAGCTATCGACAGACATCGCTCAGCTAAGTTACGCCCAGCTGTGAACACTGGACTTTTTACTGCAACGGCCTTAGACTGAGGAGCATCAAAACATACATAGAGGTATACTGGTGGCTTTACAGCCTACATTTTATTGATTATCTCTGATCCCCACGGTCAATTTGGTCGTTGCGACAGTGCGAGCAACACTGCTGATGCTAGGTGGCGCCAAGCTAAAAAAAAAATGAATCCTATCTGTTGCCTCTAAGTATCCAAGCTATGACTATGACCAGCTGTACCTTCTCCTGCTTAGAATTCCTTCAGTGTTCATTGTTCAGGAGGTTTTTGCCATGAGCTGAATAATACACAGAGGTATCTTCCTCTCCAAAACAAATGGACCTGTAAAAACACTGAATAAAGCACTTTCACATTACAAATCAATGTTTCTCCTACGCTGTTTGGCATGTCGCTGACAGGCCGCCAACCCAGCACCTGCTAATATGTGCTCATTATTTTCTTTGTTCTAACCTTATTTCTGATCCAGACATTCAGGAATTTTTTTACCGGGATGCAAATAATCCGCAGAGGTCTCCTCCTCTCCAAAACAAATGGTCACATTGCTTTAAACACATTGATCATGTTACAAATAAGTAAGCCTGGCATGTCTCAGACAAATTGCTAGCCCAGCACTTGTTAATGTGTGCTCATTTCTTTTCTACTAACTTAAGATCCAGACATTCAGGAGGTTTTTAGCTGGAGCCAGATTATCCACAGGGATCTCTTCCTCTCTGAAACAAATGGAACTAGTATTCTGATAAAACCAGTGAATAAAGCATTTTCACCTTAAAATAATCAGTGTTTTTCCAACGCTCTCTTTAGGGAGGGGCTGCTAACTACAGCTGCTGACATGGAAAACATGACTGTCCTTGTCCAGAGCCAGTATTGGTTTGTTCTGTGTGGGCTACTATAAAAACATGGCAGTGCAACATGGCAATCTCTGTGGATGAGGAGATATTAATAGCTCATTCTAAGGTAACGGAATAACAACTATTCTTATTTTCAGGTGATTCTACTCTAAGGGAAACATACTTATTATATTACATTCAATTTCTGCCAATAAATTCCCTTAAATCCTACATGCTGAACCTTTAATCACTGACTACCTGTGCCATTCTGGGCTAGTCAGCCAGCTGCTGGCATCTCATCTCAGGTGAGGAAAAAAAATCATCTTACAGAGCCTGGTGTCATGACAGTAATTAAAGGGTGGCACAGTCCAGAAGGGGTTTTATAGAAGTCATCACATTTGCATTGCTGTCTGCAATGGGAATAAAGTAATATACTCAATAAAATAGCAGAACTATACCAGTTTTGTCAAATTGGGCCATTGATGTGCATCACTGTGTAGAACTGCTTATATGTATTTATTAACATACTGTATATATGCCCCCTACAGTGCGTGGTGTTTAAAAAATGCAGTCAGTCTGTGTGTGTGCGTGTATGTGTGTGTGTGTGTGTAAGTGTGTGTGTGTGTGTGTGTGTGTGTGTATGTATGTATGTATGTGTGCGTGTGTGGTTTGGAGTGTGGAAAGAAGGCTGGCAGAGGATGTGCTGGATTCAGATGGCTTAACACAAGAAAAGAGCTGGGTTTCTGAATTTAAACTCATTTCAATCCATGCAAACTGTCTCCCAGGCTGGCCCATGATCCCGCGGGACTTAGAGACATTAAAACATTTCTGAAATTCAAATGTTATTTCTGACCTTTTGATTGATTGGCTTTCAGTGGCTTGCCCTAAACATTGCCCTACCTCTTGATGAAAATTTAAACTCAATTATATCTGAAAGATGGGAGACACTGTGTGTTGCCTTTGATGAGCTGCCCCTGACCTAATGACCCTCAGAATGTGAGTAGCGGTGATAGATTTAATTCATTCAGCAAAGATCAATGAATATGCTGATGAGTTGGCCTTTAGAAGGATGAGGTTTGTGGATCTTACTGAGCAGTGCACGATCATTCATTCCTTTCTCTGTCCACTTTTTCTTGCTCACGATCACCTTTCATCATCTTTTCTATCAAGGTGGTGCTGCGGATGGCTGCCTTGGTGTGTTGGTGCACATTGTTTTGTGTTGTTTTTATTGTCAGTTCAGTTTTCTGCAGTCGTACCCGGAGCTCTTTCACCAGAGATGAGCTCATGAGTCATGAACATCAGGGAAACAACTCCAGCTTATTTATTTCCCACTCTCCTCTGCGGGGAAGGTGATTGGCTGCAATCTGCTGTCTCTCCAGGACCTGCACGCCTCCAGGACCCTGGGGTGGGCATTAAAGATTGAGACTGACTACTCCCAACCTGGACACAAACTCTCTGAAACACTTCCCTGTGGCGAGAGGCTGCGGTCCATCAGGACCAAAGCCTCCCGTCACAACAATAGTTTCTTCCTGACTGCAGCTGACCTCATCCACAAGGGCCTGGACTCCCACTGACTCAGACTCTATCCACTCCTGATGTTATGCCTTGCTTCAACGTACATCCTTACTATCTCCCTTCTTACATATATCTTTGTAGTTTTACATATACTGTGAACTTTTACATCCCCTGGGCAGTAAGTTGCACATTTCTGCAGACTGTGCACTTTGAAAACAGATTTAACAGATATTTTTTAAAACTTATTCTTACACTTTTGGCATATTCTATTGTATACTTTCTACTTTTTTTCTAAATTTGTATCTTTAAATGTTTGCACTGTGGTAATTGTATTACGGAAGCATATTGCATTCACTTGACAATTAAAAAAAGCCCTGTTTTTTGGAGTATTTTTTTCTGTTTTTCGGAGTAATTTTTTATTTTATTTTTCTCTGTTTTCTGTGGTATTTTTTTTCTGTTTTACGTGGTAATTTTTTTTCCTGAACGAGGAGACGAGATACTTCAAAATCTCGCGAGAAGCTCCCACCTGGCACCTGCAAGTGAACCCTCCATCCATGGTGACTCTTGCTCATGGATGTATTTTGCCATATGTGTCCAACTGATTCTGGAGAAACACTGCAATCAGAGAGATCTGAATGGGCTTTTCGTCTAAACAACCGCAAAGTCTAGCCTGCATAAAGTGCTTTGCTTCCATTATATCAAGCTCTCAAGAAAGGAATGAAAGCATCTGTTGTTCTATTGCTCTCTTAACTCAGAAAAAAAAAATTACCCCGAAAAACAAACAAAAAATACCACGAAAAACAGAAAAAAAATTACCAAAAATTACCATGAAAAACAGAAAAAATTACACTGGAAAACAGAAAAATAAAAAAATTACTCCGAAAAACAGAAAAAACTACTCAATAAAACAGATTTTTTTTTTTTAATTTGTCAGGTGAATGCAATACGCTTCCGTATTGTTGTACACCAAATCACCAAGTCAAATTCTTTGCATGGCAATAAACCATTTCTGATTCTCATGCTGATACAGATGGGACTAGATGCAGTCTCAGCTTGTACTGGAGGTCCACTATCCTTCCATCTCAGGGCTGTGGATGGATATTCTGTTGATGATTTTTTGATTAGTCTTCTTGATTGCAGGGTCAGAGATCAGGTCAGCCACAGAACAAATGTATCTTGTTCAAGGAGACCTAATAAGTGAGGTTGTTTACACAAAGAAGGATAACCTTAGTTGAAGGACTCCATGAATTTCTGTTATGTAACCTGATGACTGATGTAACTCATAGCTAGCTCATGTTTCTCTCTGCAACACACACTGTGGATTGTACACAGCAGATCTGGTTGCATATCACTGATGCACCACAGCTTCATAAATGTACCTCACTCCGGGACTGAGCAAATTGGGAGGAAATGATACTACTGATTAAGTATTACAAATAAGAACACAACCCACCCTCAGCAGAAGGGAATCTCAGAAGAATAAACACTTGCGCTGATAATCACTTGGGTGAACACATGACCAACTTTGTAAGTGTCTAAACCTATTTGTAAATGCATCAGTAATGTCACAAGCATGCCAAATATATCCAACAAGTGGTGGCAACAACTGATGCAACCTGAAGCAAGAGGGATTAGCTGTACACTAAGTCTGGAAGTAATGCATTACAACAATTCTTAGCAACGTATTCTCTACTTGTGCTGTGCTTGGCAAAGGCATGTTTTTCTGTTTCTGTTCTACTCACATTAATTTGAATAGCTTCTCAAGTCAGTTCACATCAAGAAAAAAGTAATGCAACAAGAACAAGCCTCATTGTATATCTGTAATCTATTATTTTGCTTAGACTTCTTAAATTGGTTTAAACTGTTAACACTGAAAAAATAAATGCAACAGTACAGTAGCTGAACCTAAACACAAAGTGATGTTTCAAATGAGCTGTACCGGCTAAATCCAATTGAATGATGAAAGTGTGCGCACTGCCCCTTTAAGAATGTAGTCAAAACAAAGCGTGGACTGGCCGGCCGTACGGAAGTGGTTTTGTTTCGGTGGCTGCCCACAATAGTATGTGAGAAATGAGGGCTGCTACGTATATAAAATTCAGTTAGCTTTCCTAAATGCGTTTTTTCCATTCATTGACAATATTTAATGTCTTATTATCATTATTTTGATATTGCCTGAACTAAACGAAGGATAGCTAGCTAGCTTGTTGGCTAGCTTTACTAAAGCAAGCAGCCATGCCGTCCTACTCTGAACTGAGGAAAACCAACCACTTCTACTACTTCATCAAATTTACCTTAAATATCTACTCTATGCTCTTCTCGGTAAGTTTCTGGTATATTTACTGACATCAGCATTCCATGCATCATAGTAGGTCTGAGCTGCAGTGTCTGCTAATCGTAGTAGACGCGAGCCACCCAGTAGCATCAGTGAGTCATCTCACCGAACTTCATTCAAAACATAGGCGTTTGAATGTTCCTTCTGCTCTAGGCACACACACACGCTTAAGGTAACAACATCAGATATTTTGCGAATCCATATGATCTAATTTACAAGCCGGCAAATATACCGAATAGTGAACACGACTCTACCAATTACAATTTCAATTTAAAACACGGATTTCCGTCAAACTCTAACGAATGTCCACCTAAGTAGCGTTACAGCGTGAGACGGGGTATACCCGAAATTTTATTGAAATTGATCACTATTTGTTGCAAAGGACATTTCCGTATTTACCAGATGACAACGATGATTAGAAAATAAGTTATGAGTTTTGATAACAGGGTTGTGTTTTTGTTGTTATGTAAGGCAGCGTTAAGTTGCCATATTTTCTAAAGGGATTTGGTTTGGAATTCTCTGGATACTAGCTAGCTGATGAATGGTTAGCTTGCTAGATAGACATTACCACTTAAGACACCATGGATCCTGCTAAATTTTAATCTGTTGTTGATACAAGAATTGTATGCAGTTTAATGATACAGATAATATCCTGAGATATTAGTCATTGTATCTGGTATTGACACAATACACAGTCACTGACAAGCGAACGGCACGGTGGTGCAGGGCGTTGGATCCAGTTAAAGGGACGATAATGTGGGAAAATAGTTTTGCCGACAGAAAACAGGAGAGGCTGAAAGGCGCTTTCGTTGGTCGTTCAAACCAATCAAATAAATTATATATTGTTCATTTATATAGTTATTTATATAGTTCACGCATATACTGCCCACCTGTCTGAATTGTTATTTTAACATGTCAGGTTTTACATAGAAAATATCACTCCAATCACAGTGTAACAGTCTGGTACTGGCAAGTTCAGAGCATTCTGGTTCATTTGAAATCACTTGAGCCAACAAACATACATTTATTTCAGTGAAGTTTTACTTCTCACCACTGCCCACTCTGGTTTGATTTGATGGCAACACAAGACTGTGGCAGATAAACAAATTAAATTTTAGTTTTCATCCAAATATGCAAAGGTGTTTTGAAGCCATTTTGAATGATATGGCCAATGTGAGGCACAGAGCAAGCACGGGTTACATCCAGCTTTGTATGTCAGTACTTCACAGCACCGTTTTTTGTTTGTTTGTTTGTTTTTTTATTAAGCAACACTAAAACTCAAGTAAATCAATGTGGTAAACTTAGTTTGTGTTTGGAGAGGTTGTTTTGATGCCAAGAGGCACTTTGGCAGCTAAGATGAGCTACCCATAGACAGAACTTTGATTGTATTTTTGCTGCAATGATTAATCGATTAGCTGTCAACTATTAAATTAATTGCCAATTAATTTGATATGTGATTAACTGGTTTGATCCTTTTTTCTTTTTTTTTTTTGGAAAAAAGAAAGAAAAAATTCTCTGATTCCAGCATCTTTGGGAAAGACTAATGAACATTTTTCACCTTTTTCTGACTTTTTATAGACCCACACAACTAACTATTTAGTTGAGAAAGTAATAACAGATTTATTAACAATGAAAATATTTGTTAGTTGCCGCCCTAGATAAGTGATCCTCAGCCTTCATTGGCCCACTTACAAACCCCTGTGTTTTGCTCCTCCATCTCACCCCCACACTGCTTTTATCTGCAGAACTATTGTTGAAATAATGTTCAATTTGCACCACCACCAATCTGCCCGACTGTCTCTGTTTGTCAAATATATACACCCTAAAGCACATTATTGAATATGACTCCAAAACATCAGTAGTTTGATTCCATTAGCACCCCAGAGTCCCTTTCATATGATCTGTCGCTCCCCTCTACTATCTCTCCCTCTTACTGCTGTGAGTTAGGACAGTGTGGCCCAGCTTAGCTCAACAGACAAAAGCATGTCTAGCCTAGGGGCTGAGCGATTAACCGAATTCAGACCCCCATTGCAGTGTAATGGAATGCAATTTTCAATTTGCAAAAGCTGCGACTTAAAAAAAAAAAGTTTCTTCAATGCTACACAGTGTAACTAATCAGAGGGTCAGAAACACCTGTCCTGTCCTGACCATGGGCATCACATGCACACATGCTGGCCTGCGCTCTGTGTAATCTTTGCATATGAGAGCAGATGAAGGAAACAACTTGAAAAATGCCACACCATGTGCAGGTTGTGATGCTTTAAGTGCTGTGGTATGAAAATGGCCAAGGGTGGGTTTAAATGCAAATCAGATGTTAACATATCTAATTGTTGTAAGAGTAGCCGGCCTACGTAAAAGAACAGTATATATGTTGATGTATCCAGTGTTGTCTTGGTCATACTACAAAATGAGAAGAAAAAAAAATTAAGTTGTGTACTGAATCTAATCACAATATTGATGTAATAAATCACAACTGCACTAGTTTTTACATATCGTTCAGCCCTGCTCTAGCCCCAAGCTAACCATGTAGGCTTGATAAAGCTATTGTAGCTGTCATGAAGTTTCATTTGTTTAATTTAATTTACGTGGGATTCTTTTGAGAGGAACAAAGCTGCAGATGTCAAGTGGGGATGACTCTGCCTCATCCGGTGAAATTTGAATAGGTTTGGTTGATTTTATTTTCTCTTTTTCAATCAAGGTTAGTTAAAATCAGTAATGGATGAAGTACCTGAAAGCCATACTTGAATGAAAGGACAGATATCTTACCAGAAAATGACTTTGGTCAAAGTTAAGTCACCGATATGAATATTACTTGAGTTAGTCTTAAATTATCTGGTATTTACTGCACTAAAGTATCAAAAGTAATTTTCATGATTTTATATGCACTGAAGTATTGAAAGTAAAAGCACAAGTAAATTCTGGTAATAAAAAGCGCTCAGAATTTTAAGAATTATGAAGTTTTTTCTTCTTAACAAGTACACCACCTTAAAAATGGAGCCTAAATTACACTTGAAAAAAAGGCCCTTTTCACAACTTAAAGGATTTAAAGAACAAAATCCAGTTTCCTTCATTCGTCTGTGCGCCCCTCCTCCCTCCCACCTTCATTCCTCTCCTCTTTCCCTCATTTGTAGCAATGATGAAGATACTTAGGGGAAATATATTGGAGTAAAAGTATACATTTTATTTAGGAAATGTAGTGGAGTAAAAGTCAAAGGTGACACAAATATAAAAACTTGAATGAAGTACAGATACTCCAAAAAATACTTCAGTGGTGTAGCAGTGTGTTACTGTAAAGCAGGTGTTAATACATGCAGCACAGGCTTTTTCTTAGGTCCATGTGTCTTTGCACTGTGTCAAAGTCATTGTCCTTAAACTGCAAGGCATCCCATCCCATCTGTCTGGGATGTCTGATGTAATGCTAGCAATTCCAGGTTTTGTGTTATTTTTTTATTTTATTATTTTTTTTTTTTTCAGGACAGTATCAGATTTCTTTTTTACAAAGTCTGCTACTCATTCTTATCTTCGTTACTACAGCAGTGATGGTAGGGAGGCTGACTTTGGATGCAGGATCCAAGCCAGATGTATCTGCTGCCAAATTTATCTGCCAGTGCTTTATGGAGGGTTGTGAACAGTAAATGGAGCTGAAGTAGATGGACCCTACTCTTAAGGCAGATTGGTTCTGTTTCCAATTGAAAATCAATATCAGGGAAGAACACGCTGTTTGTTATTTCTCTTTATGTAGCCCTCGCTTAAGTTAAATATGAACAGTGTTCCAATGTTCGCCATTTGAAAAATTTGCCAACATACACTCTAAAGATATTTTACAGTTTTCAGCATACACAAAGAGTTAGACCTTGTTAGTCTTGCTAATCATTTTAATGTAATGCCCTTTACAGTGATTCACTGTGAGGCATGATGATCCATCACACTGACCAGCTAGATGCAGTGGTGGAAAGAATCTAAGTACAGTACATTCGCTCAACTAAATTCCATGTCAGAGGGATATTGTACGTTTTACTCAACTACATTTATCTAACAGTTATAATTACTAGTTACTGTACTGATTAAGATTTAACATTAATAATAATAAAAAAACATATGATAAGCTTATTAGAAACAATATTTTGTTAAAGATAAAACCTTTGATTCCCAACCTTTTTGAATCGTGACCCCTTACATAAAGACTGTTACAGGTTGGGGCAGTGTGTCAGGTGTCAGATGTCGTGAGTAGCTTGTATTTCCGGCAAAGTGAGATTCCTACTCAAAACTTCTCAGATAGTTTAGTTTAAATAACTGTTAAAGGGCCCAAGAAGGTGCCTTTTCCAGTATTTCACCAAAAAAGCACAGATCAGAGAAAGGTAAAAAAAAAAAAAAAAAAAATGAGGACACATATGTGTAGCAGAACTTTTTTTGTTGTTGTTGTTCTTATTTCCTGCCCCATTAATCAACAGCTGACCCCCACATTTATGTGGTGATCCTTTAGATTGGGCAGATGAGGAGGTTATAAAGTAGTATAGTGTAGTAGTATAATGTAGTAAAACTAGCTTCAACTCAACAAGCTGCAACAGTAAAATCCTACTTAAGTATGGATGCATCAGTTTAAACAATCTTTTGTTGTATTGATACAGTGCATGTACTTCGTTGAAGGATATGGGTATTTCTTTTGCTGCTAGCACAGATACCAGTGTGAGTGTAAAGCAAGGCTGTACTGGGTGCACTTTGGAGCTGATCATGGTTGTGATGATAAAGTCATATTACACCAACACCCCATTTTACCCCAATTTTTCTATTTTCTGTGGCCCTAATCATCCTTTCACATTTTGTAGCCTTTACCAAACATGATGTGAGCACTCAGGGCAGCTTCAGCACATTTTGAGCTTTGTGTACCAGGAAAAAACACATTTAAACCTGAGTGTATGATTAAAATATTTTTCATGCCTGGAAGATCACTTATTTCAGGAATTCTTGTGAAATACTGTGATGTGGTTGGAATGACCCCTGAATCAGCACTAGGCAGGATAGAATCAGCTATAAAATCAGGGCATTAGTATTACATAATGCAGACCATAAATATCTGAACAGAACATTTCCTGCCATGTGTTACAGGTGCAATGATTTAATCCAATTGTGATTTGAATTTAATCAGAGAATGACAAATGAAATCAAAACGGGGCTAGCTGTTAAACCAAAGTGACTCAAAGTCAAGTTGCAACAATGAAACACAGTTTGCTTGCCATTTCTTCAAAGCCTGCTTAAAATATTTCTCTGTGTCAGTTAGTTTCAGAGATGCTACAAGTTTGAATTGCAGCCGTAATTAAAAAGGTATTTTTTCCCATTAAACTTTCACATCTAAAAAGAATAAAGCATGTTGAGCTATATGTTGTTGAGTAGTTTTGATTGTCTCTGAAGCAATTAAAGTAGTTGGGCAGATTTTTGGGGACCTTATTATGAACAATGTCATGTGTCAATTTGCATGACTTTTTGATCAACTGGAAGCCATTTAAGTTGTAGAAAATTTAAAAGTACAAGGAGGTGACTTTAACACAACCCTGATTAACTTGTTTTGGGTAGTGTGGAGTTTATTATTAATGTGCTGTGGTGGTCTGTCAAATCAGGAGTTGGCAGCACAGTCAAAATGACATTGAACTCATGCTCCAGCTAATGTTTTCAGTGTTAATTTATCGAACAAACCTGCTTTTCTTGGCAAAAATGTAGTCTTCGGCAGACTTTCATGAGGGCTTTTATTGCCATGGCCTCCCCTGATAGATGTTTATCTAATGTTCATCCTAAATATTTCACTGTGTCCTACAGTACCTTTACTTTCATCTCTGGGGTCCTCCCTAGTTTAAATCTGGAACCAAAAAAGATGGCCTCTGTATCCCTAAATGAAGAGACAGCTTGTTATCAGACAGCCAAGTCCCAGAACTTGAAAGCTCGTCACTCAAAAACCCTTTCCCACAACTGCTTAATGTGTATGAGACACAAAAATATCTGAATCATCTGCATAGAGAAATGGGTAAGATTAACAGGCTACCTTCATGTCATTAATATATAAAGGAAAAAAGAGTCCCTAAGACACTCCCTTGAGGGACCCTACAGCTCCAAGTTTTAGCTTAGGGACATGTTGCATTGACACCCACTACCAGTGCCCTTCTTGAGAGGTAAGAATTGACCCATTTAATGGCCAACTTGCTTAACCCCATGGTGCCACCATGTTGTTGGTTTGTTGCTTACTGTGATGATGTCATCACAGGTTTGATGCACATCCAATCAGGCATCTTTGACTTATCCTGTCTGAATCTCCTTCCATGAGAGGGCATGTCCCATCTATCATCTTCATTCACTGCATAATTCCACTAAGTGGATATAGTTGCAGTTTATGTGGGCTGGAGCCTTATCCTGCCTTAAGAAGCAACAAATCCACTTAAAAAGGATTTCATTTGTCTGGATTTCAGTGGAACATTTTTGATGTACTAAAGGAAATGCAGAACCTTTCCTGAGTTTTAGTGATTTAAAAAAAAAAAAGAATGAACATGTAAAAAAATGCCTGTGTATTGGCTTTCATTAATTTAAAATAAAATGTTTAGTATCAGCCTTTGAACTTGTACGTCAAACCATAGTTTGGCTGCTAAAACAGATGGTGGAGTAGGGGAATGTTAGTCTCTACATACAGACTCTACATTCAGTAAATGTAGAGTCTGTAAGCAAACCCCGGAGATCTTGCCTCCGAAAGAAGAGCAGAAGAGCCCTGGTTTCCGGTGCTAGGCTGTTTGTAGTCCACGTGATATTGATCAATCACGTTTGACCCGGCTGCAGTTGTTGGCAGGTTAAACGCTCCGTGCGGTGAACTAACGAGGCGGAACATAATTGACATCACTGCAAACTCTGAATCCATCGCAATGGTTCAGCATATTTACTTATATATAAAAGGAAGTCGGAAACGGAAATTCACCTCCTCAAACCGGAATGCCAAAAAATTGTGGGTCTGCCCCCAGAGGGTGTATCACCGTCTGCCGGAAGTCAGACGCCAAATACAGCCAGTGGGTTCCGAGAATGGGGGAGTGTAGGATACAAGGGATAAGAAAACATAAGAAATAGACGTGCTCAAAAATACAGGTGTTTTTCCCCACAAAATCTATATATTAAAGGCGCTGTATGTAAGAATGTGGCCAAAATGGTTACTGCACTCAAATTCAAAATACTGCCGCGAGTCGTGTCCGCCCCCCTCCCCTACAGATTCAAGGTTGCTGGACAGCAGCACGCTGGAGACTGATTTGTTTGCCCACGGGTGGCTGCCGTGGCAGGGTCGCGTCGCCACGTCCTTGATCTTCGATTTTCCAGCGGACCGTTCAAGCAAGTCCGGCTTCTCTGCTGCTAACGCTGCTGCCGGGATACAGCTGAGGAGGAGCTGGTTGCTAATGCTATGTACCGGGACACTGCTAATGCTGCTTGCCGTGCTGCTGTAGCTCAGTCGTAACTGTAACTGATGCTGAGACTCTACTGACTGTGTGACTGGTAGACGGCGGTGGGTGGCGCAACAGGCCAAAACACAAATTCAAAACATAAACATGATTTGCAGACTGTAAAAACGTTTTTTAACTGCGAATATTCTGGCTGTACTATTGTTGTCGGTCAGATCAGTATGTTATATGAACATTATTCCTTAGTCTCTGTGACATATTAGGAGGATTTTACGACTATTTGCTTTAGATTTCTTACATATAGCTCCTTTAAACAACTCAGTCTTGAGTTTAAAATCATTTAAAGTTATCTGTGTCTGTAATGTCAGACACAATCTACTACTACATTTCAAAAGATGAATGGAAATTATATACAGTTCAAAAAGCTCAACGCTTTTTGTTCTTCATAAGGAGGATTGTCAAAGGTTTTGTCTCATGAGCCCCCTCTCTCTCCCTCTCCCTTTAGCTGATGGGTCTTTGTGTGCTGTGTGTGGGGGTGTATGCCGAGGTGGAAAGGCAGAAGAATCGAACCCTGGAGGGCCTTTTCCTGGCCCCTGCCGTGGTGCTCATCCTGCTGGGCCTGGTGATGTTTACAGTGTCGGTGGTGGGCATGGTTGGATCCCTCAGGGACAACAAGACTCTGCTGCACATGGTAGGGCTGATAGAGGATGAGGAGGGGGTGTGGGCATGTCTTTTAATGTTTGTTTTCCATGATATGTGTGTTTGTGTGTGTGTGTGTGTGTGTGTACAACCGTTTCGTTTAAGGTTAGGATTTAAATTTTCAGGGCTGTGAACACTTTGGGTTGTTGCTGTTAAAACTAGGAAGGTAATGGGAATAAAATAAGACATTTATTCATAAACATATAGGTGTGTAAATTACACACACAAAACTGAGAAATATAAACTGTATTCAAAGTTTGCCCAACAGCAGCAGTTCATAAAACATGTAAATCAGTGATCTCTTTTTTCACCTCAATATAAAGGCACAGCTGTTGGTTTTGCCAATAACAGAAAAATAGCTCAAAGGAAGCAGGGATATATTATTATGGTTGCTATGCAACTATCTAATTAGCTTTAGCTAAATAAGCTGAACTGAAAAAGGGGATTAAAAGTTAGCAATAAAAAAGGAAGTCAGTGATTTCTCTGCTTATGCTTTGATGAAGAGGATGAGCAGCTCATTTCATACTGAGGAATCCATGAAGCTAATGTTACTCACTGAGGCATTATGTTCCTTTATGCACTGATTTTTTTGCGTCTCTCAGTACTGGTAGGTTGGTGAAACTAAGCTTTTAAGTCAGATTTTCTACCATTTTGAAAAAATTAATTAATTCAATATCTGAACCACTTATCCTGTGGGGGGTAGCTGGGTTGAGGTGAGAGGATGGGTACACCCTGGACAGGTCGCCAGACTATCACAGGGCTGACACATAGAGACAGACAACCATTCATGGTCACATTTACACCTGCGGGCAATTCAAAGTCACCAATTAACCTGTGTGTCTTTGGACTGTGGGAGGAAGCTGGAGAAAACCCATGCTGACACACACGGAGAACATGCAAACTCCACACAGAAGGGCTCCCCCACCTGGGGTTCAAACGCACCACTGGCGGTTCGAACCAGGAACCCTCTTGCTGTGAGGCGACAATGCAAATACTTTTCCACCGTGCCAGTGTTTTGAAATAAATGTCAGAAAATAAATTATCTTAGCTAATTGATGATAAACTTGGGCATAGAATGTAGACATTATTGACTGTCTGCTAAGCAACAGTTAACCTTTCCATAATCACTCCTACCTAATAGAGCTGCCGGTTTTTCAGTTTAAAGACCGTGTTAACTGATGACTTTCATCTGAACGTGTCTGTGCTTCCTCATGGTTACTTAAGTGAATGGTTGGCATAGATATTAAACAGATGAGTATGTATTTAGAATTAAAGTGAAACTGAAGACTTTTACAAGGACACCTACACGTTCTGTTCTTGTTTTTATGCCTCCCTGCTGGCAGGAGCAGGGAGGCATAAAAAGGTGCTGTCTGTATATCCATCTCATTCTTGAGAACACAATATCTCAAGATCACTATGAAGGAATTTCCCCAAATTTGGTACAAATGCCCACTTGGACTCAACAATGAACTAATTAGATTTTGGTGATCAAAGATCATTGTGACCTCCAAAAACATGTTTTTGGTCGTAACTCAATAATTTCTACTTTAATTATGACAGCACTTCACACAAATGTTTAATAGGATGAAGTGATGACATTTTATATCCAAAAGGTCAAAGGTCAACTTCACTGTGGCAACACAGTGTCCTACTAAAACACTTTTCTAGCCATTATTCAACAACGCTATAAGTTAGGAATATAAGGGGAGACATTTGGTCAGATATTGAATTGGTGACACTAATTTTGGGTGTCCATCTTGAAATTGTGGTGATTGTATTGATCGGTGCTGCCGGGGAAAGATGTGTAGTAAGCACCCAGGTTTTCACAGTCATGGATATAAACTCTAAAAAGTGCGACTTGACTGGTTAGCAGAGCCATACAACTGCAAGGTGGTAATTTTAGGTATTGGTTACTGTAACTACCAGCAACCGTGATGCATTTGGCTGAGAGTCACCAGTCAGTTAACACTTAAACATCAGACTGCATAGTATGTGTTCTGTTTGTGATGCAGACAAATGATGTTTACTTTGTGGTTACTGCGCCAGTTAGAGCAACTAACATTATATTTTACAATAACACCATAGTTAATGGATGGAGTTAATTCATTCATGACATTAACTCATGTAAACTACATTAGTCAAGCAGTCTTAACGTAGTTGACGTTAGTTAACATCAGTTTTTATCCAAAGTTGAAGTTTGACACAACTGTTGAAGCAGCCAAGAACTGCACAGGTTCCTACTGATGTTGTCAAAAGTAACATTACATAGAAAGTAAAGGTCAAAGGAGAAAACTGAACACTCCTTTCGACAGCTTGCATTCAAATGTGCATGTATTGTAGGCGGATTCCATCACAGTAATGTTAACTTGTTTACCTTTGGTCTTACCCAGATTCGTCTGTATTTGCCCTAAATGACACAATGCACACTCAAACTAAAACCTGAAAATGTAATAAGATAGAACTTCATTCATCCCCAAAATTTTTTATACCAAAGATGCTTCCTATACATAATAAAAATAATTGTATACATAGCAACAGAAGATATACAGTTTTAGTTAGATATGTGTCTTCCACCTTTAAATAACAGGTGTTATCTTGCTAAATTTGGCTTGCCCTATTTTTTACAAGCTACTCGGTAGGCCCTGGCTCAGTACTATTAAGTTATTGATATGATATGATATGGTAAAAAAAATGATGATTGATCGGGTTTGTTTTAGACAAAACTGATCCATTATTCCAGGATCTTCCCAGAAAACGATCTTTAGGATAGCACTACCTCTATTTTATAAGTAAATTATGCTTTGTGTCCTTGTTGTTTTAAAAAGGAGCAACTGCAAAATTAATTTGTCTTTGGTAGTGATGTAAAACGTTTTTTGGGTGCTTAATATTTACTGCTTAATATTTACCCTGAATGTTGTCTGCATCTGTCATCCTTGTCCCTCCACAGTTCCTTTGTGTTCTCTGTGTGTTGCTGCTTCTCCAGGCGATTGGGCTCGTCACAGCTCTCATCTTTGAAAACAAGGTAAACTTGTTTGTGTCACGTGTTCACACCCTTTACATACCAGTATATTACCCCTAATGATAGTCTCTAGCCACAGTCAGGTCACTACCTACTCAATGCTTTTTCTGACGGGCATTATCCTTTTTCAGTGTTCGTAATAATGACCACCTCTCCTCTGTGTCTCTGCCCCCCCCTCCATTTTATCTAGACGTCTGCCTTGTTTCAGAGCAGTATACGAGAAGGAATTAAACACTACTACGATGATCTGGACTTCAAAAACATCTTGGACTATGTGCAACAGAAGGTACTTTGATATTTTCTCCAGAAGAGATGAAAAGAAAGGGAATGTGATTGTAAGATACATTTCTTATATTTGTAGACAGTATAATGACGAAAATTTAAATACGAGAATGGTAAAATGATGGAAGTGTTTGATACTGTTGTGATATGTAGGTGGAGGATAAAAAGGGCTTATAATGTACAGCTTGATGCTCTCACAAGAATTCATTGTACGTTATTCAGAGCTTTAATGCTCATAGATTTGTGATTTGTCCTCTGTAGAAGTCAGATGGGCACACAGGTTTGTTATCCTGCATTTTAATCCAGCCAGTTAATCACCAAGCTGGTCATTTAATATCACAGATGACATGATTGTTAATTTAGTATTAACTGTTTCAGTTATACTGTTGGAGTAGTAAGTTTGCTTTCACATTTTCTTACCATTGTGGCATGGTTCCCTATGAAAGTACAATACACTGAACAAAAATATAAACGCAACACTTTTGTTTTTGCTTCCATTTTTTATGAGCTGAACTCAAAGATCTAAAACATTTTCTATATACACAAAAGACCATTTCCCCTCAAATATTGTTCACAAATCTGTCTAAATCTGTGTTAGTGAGCACTTCTCCTTTGCTGAGATAATCCATCCCACCTCACAGGTGTGGCATATCAAAATGCTGATTAGACAGCATGATTATTGCATAGGTGTGCCTTAGGCTGGCCACAATAAAAGGCCACTTTAAAATGTTCAGTTTTATCACACAGCACAATGCCACAGATGTTGCAAGTTTTGAGGGAGCGTGCAATTGGCATGCTGACTGCAGGAATGTCCACCAGAGCTGTTGCCCGTGAATTGAATGTTCATTTCTCTACCATAAGCCGTCTCCAAAGGCTTTTCAGACAATTTGGCAGTACATCCACCCAGCCTCACAACCGCAGACCACGTGTAACCACACCAGCCCAGGACCTCCACATCCAGCATGTTCACCTCCAAGATCGTCTGAGACCAGCCACCCGGACAGCTGCTGCAACAATCGGTTTGCATAACCAAAGAATTTCTGCACAAACTGTCAGAAACCATCTCAGGGAAGCTCATCTGCATGCTTGTCATCCTCATCGGGGTCTCGACCTGACTGCAGTTCGTCGTCGTAACCGACTTGAGTGGGCAAATGCTCACATTCAGTGGCGTCTGGCACGTTGGAGAGGTGTTCTCTTCATAGATGAATCCCGGTTTTCACTGTTCAGGGCAGATGGCAAACAGCGTGTGTGGCGTCGTGTGGGTGAGCGGTTTGCTGATGTCAACGTTGTGGATCGAGTGGCCCATGCTGGCGGTGGGGTTATGGTATGGGCAGGCGTATGTTATGGACAACGAACACAGGTGCATTTTATTGATGGCATTTTGAATGCACAAAGATACCGTGACGAGATTCTGAGGCCCATTGTTGTGCCATCCATCCACGACCATCACCTCATGTTGCAGCATGATAATGCACGGCCCCATGTTGCAAGGATCTGTACACAATTCCTGGAAGCTGAAAACATCCCAGTTCTTGCATGGCCAGCATACTCACCGGAGATGTCACCCATTGAGCATGTTTGGGATGCTCTGGGTCGGCGTATACGACAGCGTGTTCCAGTTCCTGCCAATATCCAGCAACTTCGCACAGCCATTGAAGAGGAGTGGACCAACACCATCCACAGGCCACAGTCAACAACCTGATCAACTCTATGCGAAGGAGATGTGTTGCACTGCGTAAGGCAAATGGTGGTCACACCAGATACTGACTGGTTTTCTGACCCCCCCAATAAAGTAAAACTGCACATTTCAGAGTGGCCTTTTATTGTGGCCAGCCTAAGGCACACCTGTGCAATAATCATGCTGTCTAATCAGCATCTTGATATGCCACACCTGTGAGGTGGGATGGATTATCTCGGCAAAGGAGAAGTGCTCACTAACACAGATTTTAGACAGATTTGTGAACAATATTTGTGAGAAATGGTCTTTTGTGTATATAGAAAATGTTTTAGATCTTTGAGTTCAGCTCATGAAAAATGGGAGCAAAGCGTTTATATTTTTGTTCAGTGTAGAATTTAAAAAAAAAGTGTATAACCATGTACATACTGACCCCTTCAAACCCTCTGAGTACAGTATCACACTGAAGATATTCACTAAGTGCTGTCAAGGTTTTTGGCTATTTTTTAATTGTGTTAGCCGCCTTTATAGTGATTTAGCTTAGAAGTTTCTCTACTGATGGAATTACCTGATTTGTTCAGAGTTGTCATGTTTTTTTTTGTTTTTTTTTTTTCATTATGCCTTTATGTCGGCGATAGCAATGGCCAGAGGTATAATGTTTTCAGGTTGCCCGTCCCATTCATGTGAACATGATATCTCATAAACACCTTGAGGATATTTTTTTTCAAATTTGCCACGCATATCCACTTTGAGTCAAAAATGAACCGATTACAATTTGGTGGTTATAGATCAAAGGTTAAGGTCACTGTGATCTCATCCATTGCATTCTCATAATGGCAATATTGCAAGAACAACTTGAGGAAATTTCTTCAAATTTGGCACAAACATCCACTTTGAGTCAAAGATGAACTGATTAAAATTTGGCCAAAGGTCAAGGTCAATGTGACCTCGTCCATCTCATTTTGTAAATGCAATATCTCAACAACACCTGAAGGACATTTCCTCAAATTTGGCACAAATGTAGAATTTGGTGGTTAAAGGTCAAATGTCAAGGTCAGTATGACCTCACAAAACATGTTTTTGGCTATGACAAAGGAATTTAGACACGAGTTATGATAAAATTTCACACAACCATCTAATTGGATAAAATGATGAAGTGATGACATTTTATATCCAAAAGGATAAAGGTCAACTTCACTGTGACATAATTTATTGGCCATTATTCAACGTTGTATCTCAGAAACAAAAGGACAGATATTAAGTCAGATTCTGAATTGGTGACACTATTCCTTAGTGTCCATCTTGAAGCTGTGCTGATTGTATTGATGTTCTGTGTCATCGGGGGGAAGATGTGTGTGAAGCTTCCATGACAGATGTGAACTGTAACTACAACTCAACAGGTTTGCGGAGGCATACAACCCAAGGTAGTAGTTTTTACTGTTTATAAATGATTAGTTTTAGTTTAGTTGTTATTAGTCCATCCATCCATCCATTTTCATCCGCTTATCTGGGGCCGGGTTGCGGGGGCAGCAGGCCAAGCAAAACACCCCAGACATCCTCTCCCCGGCAACACTTTCCAGCTCCTCCTGGGGGAACCCAAGGTGTTCTCAGGCCAGACCCCTTCCTCCCCCCGGCTGTGCCTCGAGATCCTGTCCATGAAGATCACAAACAGGACTGGTGACAAGGGACAACCTTGGCGGAGACCACCACCCACCGAGAACGTAGTCGACTTCACACCGAGTATGAGGACACAACTCTCACTTTGGTCATACAAGGACCGAATGGCTCGTAGCAGCGAGCCTGGAACCCCATACTCCCATAGTACCCTCCACAAGACCCCCCTGCGGGACGTGGTCGTAAGCCTTCTCCAGGTCCACAAAGCACATGTAGACTGGATAGGCAAACTCCCACGCCCCCTCCAGCAGCCTTGCAAGGGTAAAGAGCTGGTCCACTGTTCCACAGCCAGGACAGAATCCGCATTGCTCCTCCTGAATCTGAGGTTCGACAATCGGTCGGAGCCTCATTTCCAGCACCCTGGAGTAAACTTTACCCGGGAGGCTGAGCAGTGTGATACCCCAATAGTTGGAGCACACCCTCCGGTCCCCTTTTTTGAAGATGGGGACTGCAACCCCGGTCTGCCACTCTGCAGGCACCGTACCCGACATCCACGCGACACTGAACTGGCGTGTCAGCCAAGACAGCCCAACAGTGCCCAGAACCTTCAGCATCTCAAGGCAAATCTCATCCACACGCGGCGCCTTGCCACTGGGGAGCTTCTTAACTACCTCACCGACCTCCGACAGGGATATGGGCGAGAGTTCCCCTGAGTCCTCGGGTTTTGCCTCGTTCTCAGTGGACATGATGGCCGGGTTCAGGAGGTCCTCAAAGGGCCCCTTCCACCGCCCAACGATGTCCCCAGTTCGGGTCAGCAGTTCACCCTCTCTGCTGAGCACAGCCTGAGACAAGCCCTGCTTTCCCGTCCTGAGTCGGTTAACGGTCTGCCAGAACTTCCTTGAGGCCAACCGAAAGTCCTTCTCCATAGCCTCCCCGATCTCCTCCCACACCCGGGTTTTTGCTTCAGCGACTGCCACAGCTGCAGCCCTTCTGGCCAACTGGTACCGGTTGTTATTAGTGCCAGTATTAATCTGTTTTGTTTGCAGTATGGTGCTGTTTGTCAGGAGCAGGATTTAAGAAGTTCAGAAAATTAAGTTACAATACAAACACATAATTTAGCAAATGCAACTGACTCACAGTCATGTAGACATCCCTGTCTTAATAAACATATACAACGATACCATGCTTGTTGTGTTGATAAATTTGACCAAACTGACAATTGACTTTTCTGTATATTTTCATGTAAGCTTAGTTTTGCAAGTGCACTTTATCATTTCGGTTAGTTTTTATTTTTGCTTTACTTAACTATAAAAAAAAACTTCAGGTCAGGTAGAGTAACAGGACCTACAATGTGATTATTCATTATGGTTCATGTAGCTGGACTCTACATCATTTTGCTTATCTAAAAAACATATAAGGAAATATAAATGTAACTTTTAGAACAGCAAAAAGATAAACTAGTGTGTATTTGTCTAACCCAGAGGACTGGGTGGAGCTGCAAACAATGCAGGGGGAAAGGTTGTGGCAGTCTGCAGCTACCAAATCTCTAAAGATAATGAATGAATAAAAGGAAAATGCTGCAAGTGGGTATTTTGGAAATGTTTCAAGTGCCCTCTGGTTGAGATACACCTGTCATCTAAGCAATAACAGTAGAACCAACATCAGTATTGTCTCCACTGAAGCACATACTATATGGCTTCAGTTTCTTTGAACTTGAACTTCAAAACAAATTGGCTGTAGTTGGGTGTTAAAGGGGCAATAAGCGAAATTCATCGTTTCTAACCCGGCAGCCCAGTTAACATTTGCAATTAGCAGAGGTAGAGGGGGATGTGGCTCATGACACACTTTGTTTTGGTCTACAGGCAGTGCACAACAGCAAACCTAGCGGTGAAACGATTTCGCTTTTTGTCCCTTTAAATCTTTGGCCACAACTCAGAAAATAGTCTCTTGCCTCAGAACTACTATCCTCACAGTTTGGAGCCCTTCTGTTAGGGGATTCACACTGTTTTTTCATCACCTACGTCAGTAGAGAGTGCAGTAAATCCCGCTTCCTGCCTTTCATCGTCCTTTCTTTTGTTTCTTTTCCCACTCCTTGTAAAAATGTCTTTTTCGCACAGCCAGTGTGGCTCCTGGCAGCATGCAGCTGAGGTCAGGCTATCACGGAGATAGAGATGTCCTTCATCATCTTCAAAAGGTCTCAACATGTTGGACACTTGAATATTCTCTGTGAAGTACTTTAAAATGCTAGCCCTAGCCTTTAATTGATTGTCAGGAACTCTGCAGTCTTCACATGAACACCTGTTTTCTGCTCCTGACTCTGACTGAAGTTTGCAGTAGGAATTAGATGTACAGAGAGATCATTTGTTCATCTGCGTGGTGAGAAGGCAGCATGGTGAGTGAGCTCTGAGGTGAAACAGAGGTGTAGATTACACAGCAGAGGCTGTAATGCAGTGGGTTGTTTCATTCCAGAGATTCTAAAGAACTCGAGTTTGTTGTCGTTTCAAATTTTAATTGCAGATGAGCCTTTGTTTTGATAGCATGCTTTGTTCCTAACCGCCTTGTCTTTGTACCATTTTGTCTTCCAGTTTTCATGTTGTGGAGGGGATGAGTATAAGGACTGGGGAGTCAACCAGTACCATTTCTGCAATGGCACTGGTCCACTAGCCTGTGGGGTTCCATATACCTGTTGTGTTCGCCGAAAGGTGAGTGCTGGCAACACACACAGTACAAACGGGCCTTGACATAAAAATCTCATAAAATGACTGCACCAGCTCTTTGTAGTGCTTCCTGTATATGTCTTCACATATGCCTTGGATGTAATGACTGAGTGGGTAAAAACAAATAATAGAACAGCGAGAACAATCTGGTAAGTTAAGAAAAAATTACATCAGTTTACTGTAATGCAGCCTGTAAAGCCAGGAAAAGAGAACACTGTCAATATTATGATATCCAAAATCTATGATGATATCTAGTCTCATATCACAATTAAGGTTGAGTACCGAAACCTGGTGCCAATATGGCATTTGTTCTTGTACAACAGGTACCTACTGCACAAATAACAACGTAGATTTTGGTGCTTCACGTCAGTGCTAAATTGTTCACGTAGCAAGTGTGCAGTTGAAAGAGAGAGAAAGAGAGTGGGTTTGTGACAGTGACATGTGACAGCGAGGTTGCGGCACCCAGAGCAGAGAGTATGAAGTTAAATGTAGCAGTGCTGTGTGTGGACAGTTTAGGCCATTAGTCAGTGAATAAACGCTACAACTCCTCAAGAGCCAAATTAAGTTTCCATGTCTTGTTTGTCACCTGCTGATTAAAGTGAAGTAGGTTAGGTCTGATGTTGGCAAACAGAGTAAGCCTCCTATTGGAAACTGCCCAGGCTCACTGAAGGTGGACTGTAAAATTAGACCAGTTATTCTTATTGTAGTGACAATCTCAGCTGCTCCTTAAAAGGTAATGGAGAAATGTCTGGCATCTTAGTCTCTCCTGAGGTAGGGAGACAATTACTATATCATAGAAGAACTCAAAATTAATTTTGCTGTTATTATTGTAATGTTATTTAAGCATACTTTAAACTGTTAAGAGTTAATATATGGTTTAGTTGCAAGTTTAACTTTGCCTTTGCAAAAAAAAAAGCTGTTCTGTGATGTTGTTGACTTATTTATTTATTTTTTTCCTCAAGTATTGTTTCAGGCACTGTTTAGGCATCAGTATTTTTTTTAAAAAAACAAAACTAATGATACCCAACCCTTATCATGATATCAATGTAATAATGATGCATTACCCAGCCCTAATTATTGCCTTGTAGTTTTGCTGTGGTCTGATTCATGGCTTATTCACTGCATTATTACAAATAAACCATAAGGACTGAACATAAAGTTGTATGGACTGACAAGTAACTCACTGACTGGACAGTTTTGGCTACTGTCATCCTGCACCTTTAGCGGCACATGAACGGTGGGACATCAAGTTCCAGGGTTTGAGTTAACTGGACTTTATATATCATAATGGCGAACAGGTTGAAAGCAGAGTTCGATTGTTAGCTTTTACACTAGCCTACTCGATCTGAACCACACGGAAAAAAAGACTAATAAAAAATGATGCTTCTGGAAGGAAACACTAACATTTGACACAACACAAAGTAAAGATGAGTCAGGTGAGCTCTCATAATGCCTAAATTCACTTTCAGACAGAGCGTCTGCCATGTGTCTTCTGGAATGAGAATCACATTTATTGCCTGTTAATTAGCAAGTATTAAAACCATGTGACCCGGTATCAGTGATGTTAGAGCCATCCTGTTTGATAATCCCAGTCCCTGCTGATACACAATTCACACCAAAAAACTTTGCTCTGAGGAAGAGACATGTATTGTCTACACATCAGAGAAGTAATTGGTTGTGTGAGAGAAGTGTCTCATACAGCTTTTGGGAGAGTTGTCTCTTTAAATGAAATGTTAGTCCCCTGTGGCCTCCTCCACCCTCCATAGTAATTCTCCTGTCCCTGGGCTCAAAGCACTGATACTGTCTCTGGAAGCAGTGGAGCTGTGCCAGAGAAATTAATGACAGAATCATCCAATACTCACACTCATACACACACCATAGAGAGAGTTGATTAGGAAAGCTGAACATTGGCTAGGTTTCCGCTGTTATCGGTCCCGACCTGTCAGTGCTGCAGCCATTTTAAAAACACTTAAGTTCATGCTTCAGCTAGCAGGGGACAGGAACACCCCCTTGTGAGGAGCTTTGCTCCCACATATGTCCCTTATGGTGTTGTCTGTGGTCATCTCAGCTTGGGTTAAAGTTGGGTCTCTGACTCTTTATATCTTAACTCTTTGCACAGGTTGGAGAGGTCATCAACACTCTCTGTGGTTACCAGACTCTGGAGAAACAGGTGAGAGGAACAACAGATAATGACTGCTAATTGATAGTGAATGAATTAGTGGTTTCATCCTGTCTTCACTGTTACTATGGTAAACTATGGTTTTATTCAATCACATTAACTTATGTTGCTATAATGAGTATGCAGTTTAGGAAAGGGAAATAAAGATAAAATCTAATGTTAATTATCTGATATTGTAACAGTTTTTTTATGTAGTGATCTAAAATAGTAGTGACACACTTAAGAATCACGATGCAATATTTTGTGGTACTGTATCGATTTCTCAAAAACACTGTTGATTTTTAAATTGTTTCCTTTTTTTCTTAATTTGTTTACCTAAAGAATCTGCAAGCACTTTTATTGTATTTTTTTTTTTTTCTGATATAGGTTAATGATAATTCCTTTGCCAAGTTGACTTTTTTATGTGTGTGTAGTTGTGTGTTCTTCATACTATGACAGTTTACCTAAAATGAGATGTAAAAAGACACAGTATATCTCCTTGCTTACAATATAGCAATATGTTTCAATATATTTAATCAGAATCAGATTTACTGGCCAAGTATGTGTAACATACAGTACAATGAATTTGACTCCAGTCATTTGTTGCTCTCAGTATACATACACAGAATACACGTACAGCTAAAACAAGGACAACAATGCTGACCAAGGTTAACACAAACACCTACTTTGATATAGATATATTGGGGATGCACAATATTGGATTTTTTGCCGATATGTAAAAACTCATTTGACCGATAACCAAGACCAGTATCGATATATCCACTTTTTGACCCACCTAATTTTAGTGATCATCATGTCTCGTCTTTAGTGGAATTAACATCTTATTATACATGCATACTCTTGTCATGATGGCCCACCAGCAGATGGAGACATGAAATAGAAAACTTTTCAATGTATGTAATATCCATTCATTGTGCAAAGTAAGAAAAAGCATGTTGGAGGATTCTGATAGTTCATCTATAAAGCCGATATTGGTCGATATAGAATGTTAAATATGACAGGTTTCCAACATACATGAAGTAATTTTATTTAATTTAATTTTTATTTAATTTTTTATACTTTATTAATCCCCAGAGGGAAAATTCAATTTTAGTACGTGGAAATGACAGTAAATGCAGTGTGTAAAGCATGATTGGATTATGTTTGACAGATTTCTACATGTTTACAGTGTGTATTTAGATTAGAAATAAACATATTTTTTTTCTGACAATTTGGACAGTCTTAACTGTTTATCATAGAGATAGCATATGGAAAAGTAACCAAATGGGAATTCATCTTTTTGGCTAAGCCAGTGACTTAAATACCTGCGCAATCAAGGCACTTAAATCACATTGATGCAAAACCCTTTAAAAAGAGTACTAAAATAATAGTGCTGAGGTGGAAGATTAGGAGAAAACAAAACCCAAGCAGTGATGTATACTGATCAGCATATGTGCTGCTTAAATTATTTTATATTTATTTATATGATTTATAATTTCAAAGCAGATGTACAAAGTGCTTTACAAAAAATAAAAAGCAATAGAGAAAATAAAAAAACAAACAAACATTAAAAGCAATTTAAAAGTGATACAAAGTGGGACAAAAGGAGCTACACATGAGAGAGTAAAACAAAGGAAGATTAAATAAAACACTCAATAAAATAAAAGTTAAGAGAATAACTTTGATTAAAAATATGTTATAGGAAGTGACTTTAATATAAAAGTGAGGTCAGGCCTTAAACCCTGTGAAAGTACATTCATAAAAATGTGATTTGAAGAGGGATTTAAAAGAGGATAAGAAACTCGGCAAGCTAATGTCCTCAGGGAGGTTGTTCCAGAGAGTGGAGGCCCTAAAAATAATAATTGAAATCAAATTGCTTTAAATACTCTTGCTTAAGACAAGTAACTTTGTTAAAACATAGGTAATGATTTGGTCCCGGTCTGTTTGTGCGGTAAAACCAACAGGACACACTTTCGACTCATTTTCATTCATCAGGAGATTATTCAGTAACACTATAAACAAGCGATTCTCAACCATCGGGCCGTGCCTTCTAGTGGACAGTGGAGATACTGATAAAATTACAAAGCTAGTTATTTTTATATCTAAATGTACTTGAGAATTCACATTAAAAAAAAAAAAAAGTCCAATTAAAATGCAGAACTTCAGTGACTAGTTACATTTGAATATCACCCCACCAGTCCTGACACATCATCAGGGTGAGACAAACATGCTTTCCTACTGTTAGCTAGCTAACATTTCCCTGTATGCAGTGACAAAAATGAACTTTTTTTTTTTAAACATATAAGTGATGTGGGAGACAACCCTGTGCCAGTAATAGCTGTAAAGCGTTTACGATACGATATATCAAATTTCGCGGTGTCATGATAAAATAAATTCTCGATACCGTCGTGGGAATGCTACAGTAGTTATATAGCTGCGTTCTCCTACAGAGCTGGTAATATGACTGTGCGACTACATTCCCCATAATCATTTGCATGCAACTGCGCGCACGGGTGAGAGCAGACTCGTGCAGCTCAGCCTCTCAGCCTCCGACTCTGACCCGTGCGTGACCGGAGGAAACAGCGAATAAAAGTAAGGAGATTGATTGTTCTTCTCTGTGGATTTTCTCTGCGACTGTCCGTCATAGCAAGAAGCCACACATATCACGTGAAACAGCGGAATCGTGGCTTTCTGACAAGACCAAGCAGTCGGTAGTCCAATGTTTTCACAGCAAAAAAAAAAGTGATAAAGTTACACTAAAATAATGTATAACAAAGCTTTCATACAGCTTTGCACACACATTACTTTTGGATGGATTACTCTCGAATGTAGTGTTGCATATAAATGCCACTCATATCACATTAAATCGCAGGATCAGAGCTTTCCTCTCCTCATCTCCTGTTCTGAGAAAGTGTTAGGGTCTCCTTGATGTCAAGATTGTCAACCTGGCGTGAACAAACTGAGTGAATGTGTGTTTTTGAGTTTTTCTATGACTTCCAGGGAAATGGCTGGGCTTTATTTATTTTGGTTTTCTTTTACACACATCTCTACCCGCCTCTCTCTCTCTCTCTCTCTCTCTCTCTCTGTATCTGTGAGTGAGGGATTGTGTGTTATTGAGTTTACATTATTTCTAATTTGTTAATTTTGTTGTTGTTGCAGGGTTTGATTGTTCTAAGTTCTGTATATTTGATGAATATTAAGACTACTCTATCCTCATAATTTGATGTCATTCAGATGACTTTCTAGTAATAGTACTACACTACTTTTGTTCAGAGTAGGTTAAAAAATACTAATGTTTCCATTTTCATATTTTGTCACTAAAGTTTTAATTGACATGACTTATGGCACTTGAATGTCTGCCTGCCTAGCAGTAATAGGGGGGAAATGAAAGCACATGTTCAACTGTGTGTTGATTTGTTTATGATACGCTTCCAAGTTAAAAATAACATGCTATACAGTGTACATGCACTATTTTTGAATAAAATAGCTATTTTTAACAATAAATTTTCTCTTTTTTCCCCCTTGTATAAATATTGTGATATATATCGTATCGTGGACTCTTTATCGTGATAATATCGTATCGTGAGTTTCTGGTATCGTTACATCCCTAGTGAGGAAACATGACTCTGAATACGTTAAATTTGGATTTATAATGGCAGGCAGTGATGCTGAGCTCAAAGCACAGTGTGCTGGATGTGGTGAAATCCTGTCAAATGAGTCGCTAAAACCATTGAAGCTCCACAGACACTTCAAACAAAGCTCCTGAGATGTGTTAGGAAGCCAAAACAATATTTCCTGAAAAAGGCACTTCAGGCATAACATTAACAGCTGACAGTGGCATAACACATATTAATACCACAGTTTAGTTTTTCCCACTTTTTTTGGTTATTTTTCTTGTCATGTTTTTTTCATCAATCATTTGGGAAGGTGGTCCTCCTAAATTAACATAGGGTCGATATTCCCTGTTATACACTGTAATACTGTAGCATGTGTTTTTCATTAGTTATCTAGTGTTTCATAGCTGTAAAAATGTAAATGATTAGTACTCTAAGGTTCTGAGAGAAATACATGTGTTGGTGAGGAACAAGTACATTATGGAGCCTAATACATTCTTTTGAGATGACAATAAGCTAGTAAAACTTAAATTGTGGTGATCAGCTTTACCCAAGAGCTTGAATTTTCCTTTACAGCCATGAAACCCTAGATAGAACAGAGTCTGTGATGCTAATTGACTCGTATGTATGTTTTTCCATCCTTCAGCATCTAGTTTCAACAGCAAACATCTTAAATTGAAATATATCCAACTGTGTGTGACAGCTTTGGAGTGTTTAAACTTCATTGGTTTAACTTGCCAGTTTTCTTCTTTTTTTCAAAGGCAGCGACTGTTGATTTGAGTCTGAAATTGAAACTTTCCTTTTGTTGTCTTCCTCCGGTCTGTGCATCAGCGTGAAACCCTGCATGAGTTGATCCATGTGCGAGGCTGTATCCATGCAGTCAACCTCTGGATGAGTGACAACATTGGAATAACCATTGCACTCTGCTGCGCCATTGGGCTGCCCCAGGTAATTTAAAACTCATAGCACTGACTCACTGACACTGAACTGGGTTTGAAGCCCTCTTTCCAACCAAATGCACCTTTCCAACTTAGCCTCAATATCTGAACCGTAAACTCCTCACTTCCTGTGAAAGTTTCTGATGTTTTAATTTTCCTCACAACACTGTCTGGCAAATAATTTTCTCAGCTGCATTAAAAAGACATGATTTAACGCTGCCAGAATACTTAACATCGTTAGCAAAAACTATATTGATTGTTGTGTAACTCCAAGTTTTCAAAAACTTTTTCACAGTTTCATTTCTTTATACCTTGTGGTAAATCTGAATTTGTCTCCCACACATTACAATGTCCACAAATCTTCCCATGCATACATTTGGACTTGTGGCAGCCCCCTCAGTGAGGAGTAATTACAATCATTACCTTTTTAAACAGCTGCATAAATAGCATTGGTTCTCTCCAGCACCACATTTCCAGAATAAATTGTAGCTCGTACATTTTGTCCAGTTGAAAAAAACACCTACTCTCTTGCAGTTAATAGTGTCCTCACACTGAAATCTAAGGTTTTTACTTTTTGCCAGGTCTACTCTTAACTTTGTTACAGAAACAGCTTTCTGTTCCTTTAAATTGCTATGGCCTGTGTACTCCTGGGTCTGATTTCTGCCATTGTGTTGATCCTGTAGGTGTTCAGTGTTTCCCACAGAATAAGAATCTGTAACCTCTTTTACACTGTTGTGTAATGTAAACGCCATGAAATTCCCACCTTGAACAGGTGGGAATTTCATGGCGTTATTCTCCCCCACCAATCTTAAATAATATATATAATTGCGGGATGGGAGGACAGAGTTGTCTCTTCTTTAAGATGACAGTGGAAGTAGTAACAGTGCCAAATCAACATCTGTGTAGAAGGCACAGTCAGCAGGATAGACCACTGACAGGGCAGTTGAGACCTTTGGACTACGTGTTATGTGTGCGACCCACTGCTAGGGATTTAAAAAGCAGCTGATAGCAGTTAGTAACTAACTTAAAGAAGAAGAGGCTTGGCCTAAAATGTACTGATAGAGGAAGAGCTCCTGCAGAGGTCACTGAAAGCAAATTTTAAGACCCAGCACTGGACCTTGGGGTGCATGGTTTCCATGGAAGTGAAGCTGGTTTTATTTAAAGTAGTTTGGAGAAACGATGGACAATGCTCAAATGAGAGCACTATTGTTCTAAGAAATAGAGCGCTCAGTTTCCATATGAATTCATTAACAGTTAAATTTCACTGTCACTGCGCCTGGCATTCAGCTGCTCCGTCTGTGTCCAGAGTACGCTTTGCATAACGGAACAGTATATATATTCCAACAGTGCTCTGAATTGACGCTCCAGCTCCAAAAATAGACAACCAATATGTGACGTCAAATGCGGGAAACCCTGATGTCCCTTTACACATACCACGGTTTGATTGTTGGGGATATTGAGCTACTGTGGACCATGTAAAGGTCTGAATCATATAACTTGAAACATGTTATTAGACCGTGCAGTTTCAGACTGTGAGTTCTCATCCTATCCACCTTATTTTCAAACATGGAAGTAAATAGTGATCAACTTCTGTTTTTTTGTGCGTGACTTCCGGTCAGCCGCTTTCCCTCATGCTTTCCCTTACCGCAGCTAACGGTGCAAGCTAATTTTTTTTTCAATTTTCAGTTGTTTATGTTAGTCAATCAGTTAGTTAGTTAGTTAGTTAGTCTGTGTATTTTGTATAGATAACTGTGCCCACGTTTCGGTTATAACGGAAATTTATTCCCTCTAAACGCGAATAAATCGCACGTCAATCATAAACTATGAACCAAAAAAGCACAATCTATCCCGAGTGAGACAAACTGCTTGATCCCCGTCTCCAGTGTACCAGCAGAGAACCTGCAGAACTGAATCAGCGAAAAAACACACCGGGCTA